TTTTGAGTTCGAGCCTTTTCGATTTCAAGTTTTAATATTATATTTCGAGTTGATAATTTTTAGCTCGTGAGTTTTTGAGTCGAGTTGAGCTTACTTTTAAAGTTTTCGAGTTTTAGTCGAGCTTAGCAATACTCGAATTTGACTCAGCTCGTTGAACAAACGACGTTGTTTGGTTTAATTTTTTTTTAAAAAGAAAAAAAGTGAACCGGCGGTTCAAACTGGTTTTACCGGTTTTCAGCCGGTTCACCCCGGTTTTCCCGGTTTTCAATCGGTTCTTCCGGTTCTTTACCGATTCTGTGCTAATCCGGTTTTTGGGAGTTAACCGAACCGGACAGGCCACCGGTTCACAGTTCAACCGGTCGAATCGGCTGGTCCGGTCTGGTTTTAATAACATTGATATCAAATTTCGTTGTCATAGCTTCTTTTACGGATAGTTCACACTATTTCACTATCGTGAATAGTTCTCTGGAACTTTCAAAGAATGGGTAATAACTTCTTACTTTCTTATGTTGGAGGATCCGCCTTTTGGTGGCAACCACAAAGACAATAAGCAAATATTACATACTCAAATTTGGCTCTGATACCAATTGTTGCGGAAGACGGCTATCAGATAGAGAAAAATCGTAACTGATAATTTGAAAAAATAAAAATTGAAGATAAAAGAGACACAAAATTTACGTGAAAAACCCCTAAATAATATAGGGTAAAAACCACGGGCAACGGTAGAAGAATTTCACTATGAGAAAAATAGGAATTACAACCTTTCTCGATCTACCAAGGAGAAAACAATGATAATTCTCTCTTGATAAAAAGGAGAAAACAACTCTCAATAAACTCTCTAAATTCTCTTTAGTATTGAAAGAAAGCTAGAATGCTTTGAGATGGTTTTGAAGCTAAATGAGCAAGGGTATTTATAGTTGAAACTTAAGGACTAATTTGTAAATACTCTAAATTACAATGGCTAAAATATAATTCTACCATTGTTGAAAAATCAACAATTCTAGCTGCAACTTGGAATGCTTTCGGTGCCCTTAATATATATACATATATTTTATAATTTTCCACCGAAATGCATGTTCGTGCTTTGACTTTTCCACAGATTATGCTTATATGTTATATTATTGATATTCCTTGCTTTGGACTTTCGGATTGGATTTGTATACCCGTTATGCGTTCGTCGATAGTTTTTCATGTCTCTTGAGTTTGATTTGCGGTTTGTCGGTGGTCTTTTAGTAGCTTATTTCTTTTTATGGTTTGTTTGATGATACAATCGGTTCTGTTTATATCTATCTTTGTTCTAGTTTTTTGGTTAGGTTTTAATATTTTGCATGGTTCTTATGTGATCTTAAGTTGCTAGTTTTGTTTCAATGACTATAGAAAATTATCCTAAATATATGTTTAATTTACGATTATCATCGTAAATCTGTATTGTAATTGAATATTTCATATTTTAAATAAAATTAATAGATTCTATAAAAAAAATAATGAGAAAGATAAATTTAAAAGATGTTAATGTAACGGGAAAAAGAAGGAAACAAGCTTAGCACCAGCTAAATTGGTTTATTTAGTAATCTCTTTTAAAAAGGTCTAGAAGGACATGGTCTAGTGATCAATATTCAAAAGACTGAGTATTTATGTTCAAACTTTAGTGGGAACCAAAACGATGAAGATGTAGAAGTATGCATAGAAGGACACGTTCTCCCCCTCAAAGGATTGTTTTAAGTACCTAGGGTCTATGATACATAAAGATGGGGGTGTGGATGATGACGTTACACACCGTATAAAGGCGGGATGGCTAAAGTGGAGGGCTGCTACCGGAGTTTTGTGTGACAAGAAGGTGCCTCTAAAACTTAAGGGAAAATTTTATAGAATGGCAATAAGACCAGCGTTGCTGTATGAATCAGAATGTTGGGCAATCAAGAAGGATCACGTAAGGAGGATGGAGGGCGCAGAAATGAGAATGCTTCGATGGGCATGTGGTATGACTCTGTGGGACATGACACCAAACTCTGCTATTAGGATGTCCTTGGGGTGGTGCCTATACCCGAAAAATTGAGGGAGGGAAGACTACGGTGGTTTGGGCATGTCCTTAGGCGACAACCATCGGATGCGGTCAGGAGGGTGGAGTCGATTACAGTCGACGGTGCCAGAAGGAGATGACGACCAAGGCGGAAGTGGGAAGACTGCTTGAGATTTGATTTAAAGGATTTAGCCCTTACTGAAGACATGACCTCTGATAGGAAAGTATGGAGACTTAAGATCAGGGTAACTGAGTAGTACAGATCACATCCATAGGGTATATCATCTCTGTCTTCTTTCTATGCATTTGTAGTAATTTCCATGACTTCTTCTTTTTATACGTTTCTGTCATTGGAATTTATGAAGGCTTAGAACTACGGTAGCGGAGTAGTGTTGCTTTAGTTTAGGTTTTAACACATTTGACTTTATTCCTTCTCGTTGCTTGCTATCGTTGAATTTTGTGTATCCTTTACTTTAAGTTTTGCTCTTTTTAAATATTAGTCGGGTCTTACGTTTCTGTCTATATGCAGAGATTTTTATGCAGGGATTTATTTGCAGGGATTACTTCACATTTCAGACGCACATATGTAGACTGCATATAAAGATTGTTCAACTATTTATTTATTTATTTATTTATACATGCATGGCATTTCTATCTTTACTTTTAATTTTTCTAACTGCCGGAAGTCTTCCACGGAAGCTGCTCTCAACCTGGTATTGGGGGCAGCCTACTACCCTACCTCCCCTTACCCCATTGTATATGGGAATAGGGTTTTGTTGTTGTTGTTGTTATTGTTTTAAAAAGAAGTATTCAATGGATTTGAGTATTGGTTTTCTCAATAATTGTACCACAATTCAATGTTTTCCAAATGTGTTTAAATTTGAAGAATCCTCCGAGAAAATCAACAAGAAAGCTGGCAAACAGCAAGCCTAGGAAGCAACATGTATCATCACAATTCCAAAAGGAAAATCCAAAAACAAGAAGAAGCAAGTAAATCGATGGAATCGTTGCCTTGATTTTCATATTTCTATTTTCATATATTCTCTGTTCTATATAATACAGCATGTTCTCTCCATTGGTACTACAAACTGAAGAAACAATCATTTAGATTCGGAGCTTGTAACTATCACAATGGCCTGGCAAAGAATATCAACATCTTTCTTGGTCATTGCTGTCATTGTTCTTGCTGCAGATGTCTCCTTCTCCACCGCTTCATTTCCTTCCCTTTTAACCCGTAAGTCTGGACCGACGTCGACTACACCACGATCAAAGCCTGCATGTACGTCACCATCTCCGTCTCAGCCACTGGCTCCTAGTCCTTCACCTTATGCCGATGATGTGATCAAAGGTGGCTATTGGCCTTCATGGCTAGCTTATAGTCTTCCTCCATCCTCAATCCCTACCTCCTACTTCACACATGTGTTTTATGCCTTGTTGGCATTGATGCTTCTTCTTACAGTCTGTTAATCACCCAACCTGATGATCAATGGATGGGAAACTTTACAGCCACCCTTCATGCGAAAAAGCCTCCGGCGCAAGCCATGTTATCGATTGGAGGAGCGAATTCCGGCCCGGGTACTTTCTCCAACATGGTTAGTGACGGTGATAATCGTGCTGCCTTCATCAATTCCACCATCACAACAGCAAGAAAATATGGTTTCGATGGCCTTGACTTTGATTGGGAGTTTCCTAGTAACCCGAGTGACATGTCGAACCTCTCGATTTTTTTTGAAGAATGGTGGAAGGCTGTCGACAGTGAGGCTTCAGACTCTGGAAAGCCTCCCCTTCTTTTAAGTGCTGCTGTTTACTTTGCTTCAAGGTTCTTCATCGATACGCCAAGAGCATATCCTGTTGAAGCCATTGCGAAATACCTCGATTTTGTGAATCCTATGTGCTTTGATTATCATGGAAGTTGGGACACTTCAGTCACCGGTGAACATGCTCTACTTATGATAAAACTAGCAATATAAGCACAAGCTGGTATATCATCCTGGATTGATGCTGGTGTCCCTCCAAGGAAGCTGGTTATGGGGATGCCACTTTATGGAAATCATGGAAACTAAAGGACCCGAAAAACCACGGTATCGGAGCGCCTGCTGATGGAATTGGCCCAGGAAACAACGGCATATTGTTGTACAGTGATATTGTAGCATACAACGATGAACACCATGCCTCTGTAGTGTATGATGGGGAGACTGTATCGGAATATTCTTACTCGGGAACCGATTGGATCGGTTACGATGGACCGACATCAGTGGAAAAGAAGGTTGAGTATGCTAAGACTAAAGACCTTGGTGGTTACTTCTTTTGGGCCCTTGGATATGACATGAACTGGACACTTTCAGCAATTGGTAGGTTCTAACCTCAGTTTAGTTTCCATTCACTTCTCTAATCTGTATACATACATACATATACTGCTAGACTAATTCTCCTATGTTTTTGTGTTTGGAAGCATCAAATACATGGGAAGGAATGCACTAGAACCCACCTGAAGTCGAAAGTTCGAATCAAATATCCGCAGCGTCATCTGCAGCTTTCCACCCCGATCGATTCACTTGAACGCTGCAGAAGCCCTACACAATGTTCTTTTTTTTAATGTTTGTCTTCATGTGTTGCAAATAAACTTGATTTGTGAATTATGCATGTCAGCTATCATTACAGACATGCAAGTGTATACCATAAAAAAGATTATGGATTATTTCCTTTTCTGAGCTTTATTATGTCATTGCATGGAGTAATGTTGATACCATTGGAAGGATCGCTTTTGTTTTTCATATGATTACTAAGCTGTTTGCAATTGGCTTTTGGAGTTCTGTTTGTCACCCTGTTTTATACATATATGAACGGATTTATGGATTCTTCCAAAGAGTAAAATCCTTAAGAATGAATAATGGAAAGAGAAAATTGAATTTCTTATGAACTTATGCCTCTTTTGAGAAACTAATGTAATATTAAAAGAAGGAAACAAGTTTAATGGCAGCTAAATGGCCAAGCAAAGAATATCAACATCGTTCTTCCCCATTTCTCTCTCTGTTCTTTCTGCAAACGTCTCCTCCTCCACTGCTTCATGTCCCACCATTTTAACTCGTAAGCCTAGACCAACAAGGAATACACCGAAAGCCTAGGTCTGCGTGTACGTCTCCATCTTCGTCACCCACGACCGGATCCTAGTTTGTATAATGCAGTAGCCTGAAAAATAAAATAAAATAAGAACTCGAGCATGAAAAATAGTATTTACTATAGGAAGAGTGTTTTCAAGAGCAACACCAGTGTGAAACATCTTAGCCGATTGATAGATCGCCTTTGGATGAACTGCATGCTCTAAGGTATTTTTTTTAATCAAAAGCAAAATAAAAATCCACATCATCATTTTAACTAAAGCTACTGCCAATGTTATCAAGTTGGACCTATGAACAAAATTATAGAAATAGATTATTAGACTTCGTCAAATTAGAGGAATTGCCTTTCAAATTCTACTATAGTAGAGGGACTAAAATCATATTTACCCCTTTTATTTAATTTAATTGAGAAAATACTGACTAGGAACAGGTCTAGCACTACACCCCAAATGTCATATTTCTAAACTCTATTTGTTTCAAATTTCTAAGGTCTTCTCTGATGTGATGAAGCTTGCAACGCTCTTCTCCTTTGATCTCCAAGAAGCATATTTCTAACCTTGTGAAGTTCTCTCAGCACATTCACTCGACCAATCAGCCGAGCATGACACACCTATTTTAAGCACCGAAGCCAAGCATTTCCATATGCTTCCGATGCCTGTGCTGCTTTGGTCATTTTGATTGATTGCTGCTTCATCTTCAAAATTGAACCAAGTATCAACTATCACCGTCACATGATCAGGCATGGACGTCTTAATATACTTACGTAGGCTCAGCTCTCCAGTAAACATGCTGTCGGTGGGTCTTTTGCCTGTAAACAGCTCCGTTAAAACGATGCCATAGCTGTACACATCACCATGTGTCGATATTTCCATTCCCATTCCGTATTCTGGAATTTCAAACATTGATCATTAGGATGAATATCATTTTATCATATACAAAAATGCATCCACTTTACTAACATAATTACCTGGAGGAATATATCCATTGGTTCCTTTTATTCCCATCAAACTGCTTTGCTCGGTTGTCTCGGAGAGAAACCTCGTTAGGCCGAAATCAGTTACGTGGGCTGTAAGGTCGGTGTTGAGAAGAATATTGGTTGGCTTTAGATCACAGTGGACCACCGGGTTGCCAAATTGGGAATGAAGATAATCTAACGATGAGGCAACATCAATGGCTATATTGAGCCTCTGTATTAGATTTAAAATAGGTGAATTGTGTAACTCGGTTGAACTGGGGATGTAACTAAGGTGGCGTTTGGTTCGTTGAAATGTTTTTGAGGGAATTAGAATCTGTGAAGGAATTGGAATCTGTGAAGGAATTGAAATCCAATTCTATATTCTGTTTGGTTGGCAGGAAATTGAATTGGAATCAAATTCTATACGTTGTTTGGTTCGCAGACATGTCAGATTAATTTGATTTCAGTAATGTAAAATGATAGGATTGCCCTTCTTATTTATTTTTTTCTTGCTTAATTTAAGTTTGTTTTATAAATTACATGTTAATAAATTATAAAAATAAATTATAAAAAATTTAAAAAAAATAAATTTTAATTTTATTGATTGATTATTCATTTCAATAAATTATAAAAATCATGTTAATAAACATCATAAGTTAAAATCATCTCAATTAGGGATGGCCATGGGTCGGGTTGGGTCGGGTTTTTAGTTCATCTGACCTGACCCGAGAACAAGGGAACCTCCATCTGAGACCCGACCCGACCCGAATATATGAATTAGAAACCCGACCCGAAATAATAAAAAAAATATTTTTATTCAATAAAAACAGTTACTTAATTGGAAAAAAATATATATATATAGAGGGGTATTATTGTAATTATTCCTAAATATATAAGGTAAAATTATATCTTTTTTGGGTTGGGTCGGGTCGGGTATTTTTCACCCTAAACCCAAACCCGACCCGACCCGAACCGAATATCACACTTAAAAAAACTGACCCGACCAAAATAAAGTTTCACCCGACCCGACCCGAAATAATAAAAAAATTATTTTTATTCAATAAAAAAGTGACTTAATTGAAAAAAAAAATTATATATAGAGGGGTATTATTGTAATTATTCATAAATATATAAGGTAAAATTATATATATTTTCAGGTCGGTTATTTTTCACCCTAAACCCGAACTCGACCCGACCCGAATATCACACTTAAAAAAACCGAACCGACCCGACCAAAACAAAGTTTCACCCGACCCGACCCGAATATATGAATTAAAAACCCTACCCGACCCGAAATAATAAAAAAATATTTTTATTCAATATATGAATAAGTTGCCAAAAGATTGATGAGGGTGGTATGGTCAAATTTCAATTCCCTCCAACAAGGGAATTGAATTTTATCTATTCTTTGATGGAATTCACTTTCTTTCATTTGATGGAACGTTGAAGCCATAAAGAATTTCAATTCCCTTGGAAAACTTGAACCAAACATGAGAAAGTGATCGAATTAGATTCCAATTCCCCTAATTTTAAGGATTCATGTCAACCAAACGACACTTAAGTTTCTAAGCTTTCATTCGGCATGAGCTCAAACAAGAAGGTTTTGAAGTTGTTACCCCGAAAATCAATGCTGGAGCAAGAAGTAATGACCTTGACGAGATTCCAATGCCTAAGCTTCTTAAGGGCTTTACATTCAGCCTTGAAAGTCCGATCAACAGAAAACATTTTGCGTTCAATCTGCTAGAGCAATGTTACTGGCTAAAGGTTCATCTCTTTCATTGATATTCTGTTTGCCCTTTTTCTTAGCAGAAGTATCTGGAGCTGCTCATGAACACGGATTCCTTTACACAGAGATAAAGAAAAAGTTTGGAACGTAAATTTTCATCTTCAAAAGCTCTTACAGAGATGTATTGGTGTAGAAGACAGTTATATTCACATTTATATTCGAAAATGCATTAACTGTGGTTGTAGTTGTGTACCTCGTCTACAAAGTTTTTACTCATGAGACCATTAACTAAAAAGCCCCTAACATTCAGAGATCAGAACTTATGACTGAACTTTCATCTTCTCCTTTCTGTTTTTTTTTTGGGAGTTGTCTAGTTCAAGCTTAGGATCAGAAGGAAGATTAGTTAAAGAGCCCTTTCTTACAACTTAGTATTGCATCAGCCGACAATACACGAAAAATGTTTGAATCCCTTTGAAGTAAGCGAGATTTAGAGTGAAACAGAAACGCTCCTATTAGTATCAATGGAAGTGCTTCTGAGCCTGCCACGAGCAAAGCCAAAGGCTAGCCAAACAGACTGGATAGTCGACATCATTGATAAGCATAATGGTTACTGACTGAATGGTACAATCTCCAATATTCAATTATGACATCGAAACAGAAAATGACACAATGTAATCAACAGTCAAATTTTCTGACTATTATTTATCATTTCAATCTTTACAAAATTTGCAAACCAATAACTATAATAAATTAAGCCTAATGATTCATCAAACAATCGGGGCATATGACAAACAAAAACCCCTTTCCTGTACTAATTGTTTCCAATTTGTTTAACAAGAACAGCATCAACATGTTTACACACTGACCTTAAACTGAGAATGAAACGGATGGTACCCATGACTGCTGTACCCATTTTTCGGTGAAAGGACAATTCCTCCACCGGCGCCAGCAACCTTCCCTGCTTCTCCGCCTTCTTTCTTCTCCACATCCGCAGCCTGCACTCCTTCTTCACCCCTTGCATCTCCATCATCTAGTATCAAAAACCGGTCCCCATCTTCATCGTCGTCATCATCTTCGCCCATCATTCCTCCTGTTTCCATAGCCATCGGACCGTGGTAGTTGTAGTTTGATACTATTTGTAGATCATCTTCATTGTCACTATCCCAATCATCCCTTCCTCTATCGGCTTCCGCCTGGCTGCCTTGAATTCTGTTATCGTAGTCTTCCTGGAGAACCACTTCGGTTAAACCCGGGATTAACGGATCAATTGAGCCGATATCCTCAATTCCATTACTAGCCCCCTCTTCAAATCAAATCCAACCTCTTTTTCATGTGCCAGTTCTTTTTTAGAATCCAGAACCGTCGGTTCGGGAGCTGAATCGGTGGAAGGGATCGAATCCGGAGCTGCAGCATCAGGGGCAGCTGGAGGAGGAATTGATTTGAAGGTTGAAGGTTGAGATGTTTACTAGGGAAGGACTTAGCTATATAGCTAGTGCCTTAGGAGTTCCTCTGACTATGGATGCTTTTACTGCTGGTAAGTCTAGGCTAAACTTTGCTAAAGTATGCATAGAAATTGATGCTAAGGAAACTATTCCAGAGACAATAGAAGTTATTCTTGACAATGGTCTTTCTACTACAATTTATGTTGAAGTGCCTTGGTATCCTCCTAGATGTAAAAAATGTAAAATTTTCAGGCATTCTGATAAGAGTTGTTTAGTTAAAACTTCTAATGCTCCTCATCCTTCGAAAATATGGAGAAAGAAGCCACCTTCTAAGGTTAACTATGAAACTAAACCTTCTGAAGCTTTAGTTGAACTGCAGGAATCATTACTTGAATCTTCTTCTAGAACTACTGATCTTAATGACTTAGAGCCAGGAAGAGAATTAAATTCCATTCCTCCACCCATTTCAGACTTGTCTTCTAAGGGTGAATCTTCTGATTTTCAATCCACAAATGATGAAACTATTATGGAAAAAACTTTAGCCAACTGTGCTGACTCTAATAAAGGTGATAAACCTGTATTTTCTCAAGAAACAATAAACAAAGTGACTGTGACTCCTACTATATCTAAGAGAGGTAGACCTCTTAAAGCCAAAAATAAAACTGTGTTGAAAGGCTCGACTAATAGATTTGACATCCTTACCACAATTGATGAGAACTCTCCATTAATTGAGGTACAAGTCAGAAAGCCAAGACCTGTTGCTTCTGGAGTTGCAAAATTGATCAAGGAATTAAAGACAAAAAAGAAAGACCAAATTTCAAAGTTCATTAGTACCTCAGATAAAGCTATAAAGGACAAAAACCCCTCCTTTCCTCAATGATTATCTACTTCTGGAATATTAGAGGATTCAACAATCCTCAAAAACAGAAAGAAAAAAAGTGTTAAACAGAGCAAATCTGTATAATGTTGGTGTTTTATGCTTGTTAGAAACCTGTGTCAAAGTTGAAAACTCTAGAAAAATACTAAGTTCTACCCTTGAGAGCTGGAATATTTTCACAAACTATGACTTTGCTCCTAATGGAAGAATCTGGCTTCTGTGGAAAAAAGGAGTTGATTTATCATTCTGTCACTCTTCTGCTCAAAGCATCTCTGTCAAATGCTCTTTTAATGACTCTCCTTTTTTCATCACTGTAATTTATGGCAACAATTGTGGTATTACAAGAAGAATTCCTTGGCATACTCTTAGAGACCTTGATTTCATGTTTGGCTCTCTTCTTTGGATTCTTGAAGGGGATTTCAATATTTTTCTGGATTCCAAAGAGAGCTCTGATTCAGATATCCTTGGACCTTATCTTTCTGCTAATATGATTGACTTCCAAACTATTATTCATAATCTTTCCTTACATGATCATCCTTTTTTTTTTCCCAACCTTCACATGGAGCAACAAACAAAATGATTCTTTTCTGGCAAGGAAACTTGATAGAGTCCTCATCAATTCTCATTGGGCTACTACTTTAAAAAATTCTTTTGTTGAATTCACTTCCCCTAGCCCATCGGATCATTGTATGGGTCTTGCTTGTATTAACAAAGAGACCCAAACCTTTCAAAATATTCAATTTCTGGACCAACCACTCAAACTTCCTTGAAGTTGTGCACCAGTCTTGGCAGCAGCCTTCCTATGGTAACCCTATGCATCAACTTTTCTCTAAACTTAAACGACTCAAACCTTGTCTGCAGAAATTAAACAAATACTTTTACAGTAACATTTCTGTTAGAGTTAATCTTAAGAAGACAGAGTTGGAGCAAATTCAAATCGAAACTCTTAACGGCATCAGTTCTATGGACAAAGAATTGAGAACTCAAAAGGAGCTAAATGCCTTAGAGGAGAATGAGCATATGTTTCTTAAGCAGAAAGCAAAAAATCAGTGGATCAAAGAAGGTGACAAATGTTCTAAAATCTTTCATACGTCCATTGCTTCAAAACACAAAAGGGATAACATTAGAGTATTGGTTAATAATGAAGGGAAAAGACTTGGGTCCTATGATGCTATGTCTTCTGAAATCATTGACTTCTTCAAACTTCAACTAGGTACTTCTGATCCTAGAGTCCTTCAAACTAACCCTTCATATCTAAAAAATCTGCTCCAAGTTAATATTTCCAGTGAAGCTACCTCTGACTTAATAAAATCCATCACTACTGAAGAGATCAAAGAGGCTTTATTTAAACAAGGGAATGACAAAGCTCCAGGTCCTGGTGGCTACACCCCTCTTTTTTTCAAAAAATCCTTGGCTGTTGTAGGAGAATATGTTATCAATGCTGTAATTTTTTTCTTCCACGAGGCTTATATCAGTCCTGCTTTCAACTCCACTATTATTGCTTTGATCCCTAAAATTCAAAACCAATCATGTCAAGGACTATAGACCTATATCCTGTTGTTCAGTGGTGCATAAAACTATCACCAAAATCCTTGTCAAAAGACTGACTTTGCTGCTGCCTGGGATTATATCTCTTAACCAAACAGCTTTTGTTAAAGGCATATCCATAATTGATAACACCCTCCTTGCTCAAGAACTGGTAAAAGGCTATGGAAGAAAATGCATTTCTCCAAGGTGTGTCCTCAAAATAGACCTTCATAAAGCCTTTGATTCCCTTCATTAGAATTTTTTATCCATTGTTCTTATTGCAATAGGGTTGTCTTCTCCTTTTATCAAGTGGATTGAAGTTTGTTTTAAAGAAGCTAGATATTCTACATCCTTCAATGGGAGTCTTATAGGGTATTTTAAGGGTCAAAGAGGAATAAGACAAGGTGACCCCTTATCACCAATCTTATTTGTGCTTGCAATGAATATCCTTTCTAAGTTGCTCAATATTACTGCGGCAAAAGGCATTTTTGGGTATCACCCTAAGTGTAAAAAGCTTGGCATTACTCACTTATCTTTTGCAGACGATCTCTTAATTTTTTGCAAAGGAAATCTCGAATCAATTGTTGGAGTCATTATTGTTCTAAATCATTTCTATGAGTTGTTCGACCTCAAGCTTAATGTTAGTAAGACATAATTATTCTCTGCTGGAATCTTCTCTAGAATTTTGGACAATATTAAGTCTGCCACAGGTTTCAAACTTGGTTTCTTACCTGTTAGATATCTTGGTCTTCCTCTTGTTACCAGAAAGTTATCTGAAATTGACTGCTTGCCTCTTATTGAAAGCATCAAACAAAGACTTCAGTATTGGTCAAGAAAATTTCTGAGTTATGCAGGAAGGCTAGAGCTCATCAAATCTGTACTTTACAGTGTAGTGAATTTCTGGAGTAGGCAATTTCTACTTCCTCTGAAAATTATCAAAAGACTCGAACAACTCTGCTCAAGATTCCTCTGGAAAGGAACGGATAAGGCTGCATCAGGAGCTAGGATTGGATATGATAAATTATGCATACCCAAATCTGAAGGGGGTCTTGGCTTAAAAAATTTCAGAACATGGAATATGACTTGCATGGTTCAGCTCATTCAAAATTACTTGCTGGTGATAGATCTTTGTGGGTAGGTTGGACTTATTGTTATGTTCTTAAAAGCAGAAATTTTGTTAACATAAGTGCAAGTTCTTCCTTCAGCTGGTGTTTAAGGAAGCTTATCAAATTAAGGACTGAAGCCCTCCCTATTATTAACAAAGGGATTTCGAAGACCAGAGAAATATGGGAGGAATTGAGAGTACAAAATGCTAAGGTATCATGGCATAAAGTTGTCTGGTTTCCACTGCACATTCCCAAGCTGAGTATTATCTCATGGATGGTCATTTTGGACCGATTACCTACTCGGGAAAGGCTCTCTAAAATGGAAATTATTTCTGATGTTTTATGTTGCTTATGTCGTGAGTCGAATGAAACTAGAAATCACCTATTTATGGACTGTTCTTTTACTACTTCTCTATGGAACTCTATCATGAGTCTTTCTAACATGTGCATCCTACATACTACCTGGGAATCAAGATTAGGATGGGCTGCTCAACACTGGAAAGGCAAATCTCTTCTTACTACCGTCTTGAAGCTTTCATGGACAGCTTTTATTTACTCGATCTGGGAAGAAATAAATCGAAGAATCTTTAGGAAAGAATCGAGAACAGTGGATCAAGTCTTAAAAAATATTAAAGACCTTGTTCGATTCAATCTCAGTGACAGAAACTTCAATAGAACTGACTATGTCAATATGAACTTATGTAAAAATTGGGGTATTGATTGATTTTTGTTGTAAGTAACGTTTGTTTCCTAATTGGGATGTTTGTTGTATTTTCTTCTTTGGATAATAAAATTACTTATCAAAAAAATATTAATAAAATTTTCAAGTCATTTGATTTTAAAGATTATAATTAATTCGTTTTATTTTAAAAAAATAACAATCAAATCACTTAATTATATTTTATTATAATCAAGTTATTCGTCAGTTACAAATTATACAAATTATGTTCGATACAAATTTTATTCTTTAAAATTTATACATTCTATCAATTTAATTTTCATTAAAAATAATTTAATAAATGGCTTAAATGCACCATTACCCTCTAAACTAAATCATTTGTACCGAGCTGCCCCTAAACTATTCATTTATTCAGATAAAAAATAAAGATTAAAAGATGACGTGGTGTGTTTTCATTGGTCTATGATTTTTTTAT